CCCTCCCCTCCCCTCGTCCCTCCCAGCATCCTGTTCCTGTCTTTACCTGGTCTTCTGTCCCATTAGTGCTGCTCCTTGAACCGGGCAGCTGTCTCCTCTCTTGGCACTGACACAGCCTGGCACACAGTAGGCACTTCATTCATTTGCCCTTAATGAAGGGGAGGACACCCTCAGCCTCCTCCTGTCCCTCTTTTTGTTTTAGTCTCTCTATTTTTCCTTGTTCCAGGTTCCTCTCTGGAAATGGTCCTGGGGGTCCGTGCTTTGCTATTTAAATCTTTTGGCGGTTATTAGCTCTTATTTTTGCCACTGCTCCCTGGATTGTAATCTCCTTCCAGGTCCCCCACAACACACTGCAAGCATGTGACATGTGCCATTTTTTTACTTGATACTGGCAAAGTTGGACTCTCGGTTCACTGTGTTTGCCCAAGTATTCCTGTAGCAGATTCATTCAGCCCCACTATAAAGGGAAAGAAAACTTACTTCTAGATCATTGAATTTCTGGATTTCTTCAGAGTTAGTTTCAGGGTCAGGGTTTGCCTGTGAGAATAAATATAAGGTAGATCAGCCTAACATAAGGGCACATGAAAAACGTGTGTGCGTGTGCGCATGCATGTGTGTGTGTTCTTCACCACTACCACAAAGCACATATGTGTATAGCTGTACATACATGTTTTCCATCATTAGCAGACGATAGGATCCATGTAGGCGTGTGGTGACTTACATTATACTTCTGAGCGTCCCCTGATGTTAAGTCATGTAACTTTTTTGGGGGGGTCACTTTCTCTGCTTGGAAAATGAAGGACTTGCATGAATGTTTCAGAGGAGCTGAATTAGAGGAAGTTCAGTTTTTTTAGCCTACAGAGATTGAAGGGAGCTGCTTTGCAGGTTATTTTATCCCCCCCCCCCAGAGGAGCTGTTTATTCTGAGCTTTAATTTTCCGAGGCTACCATAAGATTAACCCCCTATAGAGAGCAAAAACCAGCATCTAGATGAGGTAGTTGGAGTTTGTTGAATGATGGGAGAAGCCAGCCCCGAGTTTTTAAACCCAGTATTTTAAAGCTGTGCCTGGGAAGCCGTTTGTAAAGATTGAGTTCCCTATATCGGTGGTTCTTACCCCAGCTGCACCTCAGTGTCATCTGGGGAACTTTTGAAAAACACTCAGGCTCAGTCCCCATCCCTGTCCAATTATGTCAAGAATGCTGTTGGCAGGGCCTGGGTATAGTATATATTTTTAAGTCCCCCAGGCGAGCCTGGGCTTAACTATACTGTTTAAAGCTAGAATCCTTGAACCTTGTCAGGGAAGGGCCAGATAGTAGATGTTTAAGGCTTTATGGGCCATCTGGTCTCTGTTACAAATATTCAACTGCAGCCTCAGATAATACGTAAATGAATGAGGCTGCATTCCAAAAAAAAAAAGTGTTTACAAAAACAGGCAGCAGGTCTGATTTGACCTCTGACTGTAGACAGCCAACTCCTTTTCTTGAAGAATAAAGTAATATTACTTCTTATGGCCAATGTATATATATTTTCCTTCTGAAAATAACATCTGATGGGACTTGTCACGTTTGGCCCGGTCTTTTTTATTTTTGGAGATAAAATTGGCATATAACGTTATATTAGTTTTGGGTATACAACATAGTGATCACTGCAATGAGTCTAGTTAACATCTGTCACCTCACGTAGTTACAGATTTTGCTTTCTTGTGATGAAGACTTTAAGAGCTACTCTCTGAGCAGTTTTTAAATATACAGTACAGTTTGGTTAGCTGTGGTCACCATGCTGTACACTGTGCATTACATCCCCAGGGCATATTTGTTTGATCACTGGCAGTCTGGTCTTTAGTATGGTCCCTGTGAATTGAAGAAGGTCTGAGAATAAGGCCCCCGTGGAGCTCTTTTCTGTTTTTGTCAGGACCGCCTTAGAGTCAGTCAGGAAGTGCGCATGAAGGAGCCAGTCTGTTCAACCTGAGTCCTCATGACTGATCCTGGAACCCACATGCACACCTCACTTCTCAGGACCCCAGAGGGGGCCATGCTCTGCTTTTCCTCCTCCTTCCCCCAGTTCCCCAGCCCAAATCTGAACATCTTAGCTGGCGATCAAACCGAGAATGGTGAAGCCAGATGTCTTAGTTCTCAAAGCAGAAATATAGATGCCTCAGTCAGATGGGAGATGACAAAACTTCCAGCTCTAGATGTCTCGCCTCCCCCCCCCCCCCCCC